GTGTGTGTGTGTGTGTGTGTGTGTGTGTGTGCGTGCGCGCGCACGCGTGCATGCCCAAAATCCCAAGAGAATGGAGGAGAAGTGACTGGTGTTGCCATCCCTCTAGGGGTAAATTCTCACTTTTCTCAAAAAACTAAACAGCAACAAAAATACTTGATAGGCTCTGGTAGTGAATCATCTTTTATATTTTCTCAAGTTCCAGGTCAGGCCAAAGATTTCCCCTGAACTTCAGACTCATATCACCTTTGGCTTCCTATTTCTATGTGAATGTAAATTTGTCCTGTTGTCCCTGCTCCCTTGATCTCCTCCTCATTCTGGCCTGTTATCTAAATAGATGGCAGCTCCCTCTATGTTGTCATTTAGCCCTCCTTCCAGGAAGAGTACAATTTTAAGAGTTAAGAAACCACCCAGAGACAAGTCACTGTATAGTTGAATTGGAACCCACATGGAACAACTGTACTAAGTACATATTATAAAGAGAACAAAAGCTTGTCAGACTATGTTATGGGGGTTAAAGTGGCTACCTCCTACATGGCCAAATGCATGGTTTGAGTTCTGGACCCAGGACATTGAGAAACAGATCCAGCTAGTGTTCTTGCAAGCTCAAGATCCCAAAAAGAGGGAGAAACAAAGAAGGGATTGCTCCCTGATCAGTCCCCATAGAGTGGGGGCAGTGCTTCTCACTTGCCTGCTCTCTGTCTTTCTCTTCAGTGAGTGCATACAGTCTTTGGCAAAATTAAAAAACAAAACAAAACAAAACAAAAATCAGAAACAAAACCAAAGACTAAAATCTTACCTTGATACACATGAGGCTTTACCTAAAAGAAGGAAAAACAAAACAAATTTGATACCAAAATGTATTACTAGGAAATATCTACAGTTCCTGATAAAGCTTGTCAAAATACTAACCAATGAAAATAACAATTTGTTATAAATAACAAACTCATGGAATTTCAAGTAAGAAAAGGTCAGGAAGAGATTTCTATTTAGGTGGGAATACTTCATAAGCCATTTCTGATAAAGAGCATAGAGATAAATATCTTATTTTTGTTTATTTTCTATTAAAGGAACATCAGCCTATCTGATTTGCATAAGGGAAATGCAGACATCTCATAATTTTTCTGCTAACTAGTAATTTACTTGAGTTTTTGATTTGAAAAACTCAGTATTTATAATAAAGGCTAGAAGTGGCTGTCTCACTTGATAAACAAAGTGAACAATTTACATTCTATCTACTTCAAGAACTCTCAAACTGAGGTTATCCCAATCAGAAGGAGAAGGGAAGACAGAGAAAATGAACCAATAATGGAAATAACAGATACTTTTGCCTAATATCATGATTGGCTTCCTAATTATTTCTGGATAAAAAGTGCTTTCCAAACTCAAGTCATTTTCAAAAGGCATCACAGAAATAGAACTAAAAAAATCCAGGCAGGCCCTCATCTTTCTACCATGTAAGAAACATTTTCCTCACCCCCTAGAATGAATTCATCTTTTGAAAGATTTAAGTGCTGATCAGGTACAGAGTCTAGACAATAGAGTCTTGCTGACATATCAGACTACCATGACAGCATCAAAAAGCCATTTAAAAGAATGTTGTTATGAGAAAATGCCAACAAAAAATCAAGGATATTCCTTGACTTTTGGAGCTTGCCCAGGACACAGTGAACTTCCTGGCCTCATGTCACCCCACCTGCAGACAGGGGTAAATGGGAAGACCAGTGGTTCATAAAGTGTTTCATACACTCATCCTCCTCCTACACACCTTCCCTGTTGTTTTGTTCATGTGATTTGTCACCTATTGCAACCCAAACATACATAAGGATGATATGGTAAGACAGGTTGAGCAGGAAGAACCACTTTCATATATCTTTTATCATCATATATTATAATTGTTCTGTTTTATTGTCGGTTACTGCTGTTTAATTCTTCTTATGTCTATTTTATACATTAAACTTTACCCAAAGGTATGTATGTACAGAAGGTTCCCAAGTTAGGGTAATTCTACTTAATACACTTTTTATCTTATGAGAGTGAAAAGTGATAAACTTTCAGAAGAAACCATATGTCCAGCATGCATACAAGTATTCTGTTTCTCACATTCAGTATAATATTCAATAAATTACAAGAGATAGTCAACATTTAATTCTGAAATCAGTTTTTTGTCAGATGACTTTTGCCCAACTATGGTGCTTGTACATTAGGTGTATTAAATTATTTCCAATTATAATATTTTTAGTGTGATGGATTTGGGGGCACATAAGCCCATCATAAGCCAAGAAACACATCTATAGAAAAAAATAGTGTGTATAGAACTGGGTGCTATCTCCAGTTTCAGGTATCTCCTGGGAGATGGGGGAGCTTTTAAAATTATCCACTGCAGACAAAGGGGGAACTAGTGTATTTAGTATTTTATTAATTGAAAATATTTGTAAGTTTTTCTTTTTATTTAAAATATTTGTAATTTGCAGTGTTCTTATTGAGATTATGTTGTTTTGATTACTAATTTTTTTATTAAAAAGATTATTTTACAAGATTAATTTCTACTTTGATCATTAATTTGTACTCTAGAAGAAACAAATAAGAGATGGAGACATTCTTCTGATGAAGTTTATATGGAATTAATATGCTGTCACTCGCAAATGCATTAGAATAAGAATGATAAACTAAACATCGACTCTTCTTATATCACAGAACTGATGTCACAGGATAAGCAGTCACCTGCAAAGGAGAGAGCCAGACAGGGAGATACAGAGAACTATCACCTTCCAACGCAAAAGGTGAAGTCAGAATTATCAGTGGGAACAAATGCTGCCAATAGGACAACCTACCTTCTCAATGACCAATTCATGGAGGCTCAGCATGGCTCAATCACCAATTCATGGAGGCTCAGCATGGGTAAGCATGGTATTTTAAAATGCCAAGAATGCTCAGCCTCAACAGGGGAAGGGGTAGCCACAAGATGGGAGTTTACCTCCAAGAGTCCTGATAGGTTCTATGGTGGATACATGAGGGAACAAACAAACAGAAATATTCTGTTCTGATTAAAAAGGCCTGTCCTCTAGGGAAGCTATTTTATCAAAGTCTGGCTGAAGTTAGCCACACTGCTACTCGCAGTTGCAGAAAATAAATACGCCTTAACATTTAGAGTGAGCAACAGAAAGCCTCATACAATCAGCCTAGTTACTTCAGGTCCTTTCACTCAAAAATGATGCCTACCTCTTACCCCAAACCTACAAGGCAAACCAAAGCCAAGGAAATGAAAACACTTGATCAGAGAAAACAAGCATTAGAATCATACTGAGGAGCCGGCGGGTGCTGTGATGGCTAGGGTGGCTGGATCTACTATGGGCAACTGGACCTGACAGCTTAAAAAACAAACAGGGCACACAGGTGGGCCTGCCCAGAATCCTGAAAGAAAGGGTAAGGAAGGGATTGAGGCATGAGCATTCTCCATGTACGGTGCATTCTGTCTTTGCTTCTCTCTCTTCTGTCACTCTTTGGTGAAAGCATAAGCCTTCTAGCAAATTTAAAAAAAAAATAAAATCAGACTCAGACAGGGCAGAGATGATGCAATTATCTGTCTGGGAATGTGTAACCTCTATGATTAATATTAAAAAGACCCAATCACAAAAATTGGATAATATGCAAGAAGAAACAAAGAATATAAGCAAAGAGAAGGAATCATGGAAGCAGTCAAAAGAAAAGACGATAATGAAAAGCTAGCATCCTCCTTCGGGGGATTCATCAATAAAGTCAAGATAACTGAGGAAAGAATCAGTGAGCTTCAAAAAGGGTCAGTAGAAACTTCCTAAACTTAAGTACAAAAGTAAAATAAGAATTTAAAAACAAACAAACAAACAAACAAACAGGGCCAGCTGGTGGCTGGGGGGTAAGGCAGCCGGATGCACTTTGTGTCTCAGGCAAGATGACTTGAGAAATGCAGTGGGTGAGTGTGTGTACATGCCCAAAGTTTCAAAAAGAGGTAGAGGTAGAGAGCAAGAAATTGTGGGGTTACCATCGGCCATGACAGGTGCTTTCTGATTTTCCCCATCTCTTTTTCCCTCTCCAGCAAGGGCCAGTGCCTTCTGGCAAATTAAAAAAAACACACAATACCCAAGGCCAGTGGGAAAATTATAAAAGGCATAAATAACACCTAATGAGAATGGCAAAAAAGAGAAGAAAGAAACAAGATATATTTATAGCAATAATAACTGGAAACTCTCCAAAATTGAGGATTAAAAACCAATCCTAGGAAGAGTGGAGGAGAATAAATACCACAAAATAAACACCTAGTAATATAAAATTTAAAGCCCAGAACATGATAGACAAAGAAAAGTCCTAGAAGGTACCAGAGAGGTAGAAATACTTTGCCAAGAAACAAAAAATAAGAATAACATGAAACTTCTCCTCAGAAGCCTTGGTATTAAGAAAAAAGTGGAATGACAAAATGTTAAATGCACAGAACCATCAACCTAGAATTCTATCTTGCACAATTATTATTCTCAAGTTTAGAAGCAATGAAGACTTTCTGAGAAAGACAGACATCAAGTGATATTGTCTCCAGTAAGCCTGTCTGACAAGAAGTATAAAGGAGGTTCTTTATACAAGACAAATAATAGAAGTCAGCAACTCTCATCTCCATAGTGAATGGAAGGAGCATTAGAGAAGGAACAAATGAAGGCCAAACTTAACCTAATTCTTAATTGATCTGTCATGTAACTGTTCTATGTAACATTAGCCAGATAATAATAACAACAATCGACCTACTGAGTATAGCCTAATGAAAAGTGAAGGAAGATAATATGATAAGAGATGAACAAGGAGAATTAGGTCTTTCACAAGATATTCACTCTTCCCAGAAATGGTATAGTTTGCTCTTAGGCCACCATGGACTTAAACTAGAAATCAGTAACAAAATAGCTGGAAAAATAGGAACTACTTGGAGATTAAACAATGTACTTTCAAGTTAACTTTTGCAGTATGTAAGGGTTTTTTTTTTTTAATTCCATTAGAATTTAAAATATTTTAGTCTAAATAATAATGAAAATAGGAATTGTGATAATTAGTGGAATATGCAGTGGAAATTGTGCTTACAGGGGACGTTTATATTACATACTGAAATAAAAAGGACCAGTGACTATACCATCCCACCTTAGTGTGATTACAAATATTCTATATGACACGTTGGTGCACTCACAGGAAGGATAACTCTCCAGATAAATATGACAATTGCAGAAATGCCCAAGTAGGCAGCAATGATGACAGGCTTCCAAAATTTTCCAAAACAATCAGGACCAAGATGAAAATCATCACACAGAAGATGCATCTTCTGAAACAATAATAAAATAATATTAGAAATAATGAAATGCCTGGAAGACATTTAAAATATATCAATTAGAAAGAATCCTCCTTATAAATCCTACAGCATGGGGACAGCAGGTAGCATGGTAGTTAAGGGCACTGGCCTCCCACATGGCCGACTGCAGTTTGAGTACTGGATCTGGTGGCTTACTTTCTGATTTTCTCTCTTGCTCTTGCTCTGTCCTTCTCTGGTCAAATTAAGATAAATAAAGTTAAACAAAACAATACTTAAAAAAAAAACTTAAAAAAAAAGAGGGACTGGCAGTTAGCATAATGGCTGTATCACTGGACTTCCATGTAGTTGACTGCAGTTTGAGTCCCAGATCCAATGGCTTAAAACTCATGCTGGACACGTGTGCATGTGTGCCCAAGATCCCAAGAGAATGGACAAGAGATTGTGGCGTGGCCATCCCCCCTGGGGGTGACTTCTTGCTTTCTCTCTCTCTCTCT